TTCGTCTCTAATTACACAAAATGTAAAATTCATATTCTGACAACTTTTTATGTTGAGTTAGATTCATCAGAACAAAATTCTTATTGCTAGAAAGATTTTATACAAGAATCACAATTGTTTCATTTCATAATACATTTGAAGAAAATCATAAAGTAGTCTTACAATCTGTACCAAGGTAACATTATACATATACTGTTGATGTATTGAAAATATTATTCTAATTATTTTACAAGTAAGACTCTATGTAGTAGCAGCAACAGTTGTTGTCGTAGTGCTTAGGGGAACATCATCGTCTAAAGAGTCATCTTTGCTATGCTCATGTAATAAGACATATTCCCTAGAACTGAATCCAAAACGTACCACATCTCTTTCCAGTAATTCATGGTATCTCCTGGGTTCCAATTTTACATTATTTACAAATGTACCATTTGCAGATTCCAAATCAATAAGATATGGGCGAATTCGTCTTCCTTCACCACCACCTTCCCTCTGGAAAGATACTAAACGATATTGTAGAACAGCATGTTGCTTAGAACATGAAGGATGGTCCAAGGGGATATCAGCAATTTTTCTATCTCTGCCCATTAAATATGCTGATTGTCTGTGAACATACAAAGTGGGTAAAGCCTTCTCCCCTTTAAAAGGATATAACCTCCATCTGCGTTTAGGTTTCCTTGAATCTGCAGGCTCGGCATATTTAATTACTATACCGTTTACGGTATTTGTATCTTCCGTCAATTTTCCAGACAATTCAAAGTTTGGTTTCTCCTTTTCCTGTGGCTTTAGCTTAGATTCCGTTTTGATGACAGGTTTACCCCATTCTGGTGAAGGTTGTTCCTTTTTCGATTTTACTTCCTCGAAATTATTCCTCCTCTCTCTGTCAGCATGTCTTCTATTATATTCGACAGTTCCTCTGTTGTATTTTCTGTTCTTCTCATCGTAATCTCTGTGTTTTGAACGTGAATCGTCCTTTCTTAGAGGCGATCTGTCATGCCTCCTTCTATCATGTTGTCTTTCATCATCTCTCCTTGAATGATCGTATCGATTCTCCCTATATTCTCTATCCCGTTCACGTAGCGATCTATCACGGTGCACATCATTATTTTCCCTTCTTACATCTCTGCTAGATTTGTGAACGTCCCTACCTTCTCTACTGTCTTTGTGACTTTTACTCATTTTTACATTTGATGTTCAACAGTTCAACAATGCCATGGATGCCATGTTTGACTCGTTTGGCCATGTTGTACTATGTCAACTCTATTATAGAAGGTCTACCTACCGAGATGCTAGATTCCGCTTTATCCATAAATATGGCGGCCAAAAGCATTAAAGCATTGACATATATATAT